ATCATCATATCTCCTCCCTCCCTCCTTCTCCATTGTCCTCTGGTTGTTCTCCCCCAGAAACCTCTAGGGGTATCTTGAACTCTTCAGCCGTCCGCAGGGGTCCCGAGAAGCCCCCGGGCTCAAAGAGGCCCGAAGACGTCCGAGCGCCTCGATCCTCAGATCCTTCCCCTCTCGACTCGCGCAAAGAAGGAAGAGGCGGAGGATGAGAGCGCCAAAGATAAATTCATGTACACCAATCCTGGCCAGGTCCACGCTGAGTCCAAGATGGATGTTTACGCCCTCTCAATTCTGGGCAAAGGATGGACCCAGATAACATCCATGTAGGCGAATGTAATTGAAATCCCCTGAAGAAGAGGGCTCGCAGAACGATGGAACGAACGAACGTTGGAGTCATGCCGCGCCCCGCCAGGCAACCTGCCCACGCCCATCAGGGCAAGTCGTGGAGGCCGTAGCCTCAACAGGGAAGACGACACGTACGAAGCCTGACGTAAGGATGGCGCGCGGGGCGGGGAGAAACACATTGGAAAATCTGTGGCCAAGGATACCGGCCCTAAGAGCCGAGCGCCCTATCGCTGATCCGCGGGAACTGACCGAGTACAGACAACCCGACAGCGATCCACAGACTACTCGAGGCCGTCTATCATCAACGCATGCATCTCGGTGAGGCCACGGAACGGGCGAAGAGTTGAAGGCCTCCCAGATGGCAACCGAATGGATGAAGTCAGAAGATCGCGCCGCATCGCCGATGCGTACCCGGTGCATCGGCGATGAACTGGCGACGTCGGCGTGGAGAAAGCCAGGCCCCCACAGCGAGCCGCCTCGCCGGCACGTGGGCGAGGCGCCGCGGCCCTCCGACCTGCAAGAACGGCGACCACGCACCGCACCATCCGTGTGTATTCCCTTCGGGCCCCGCTCGAACGCGCCGCCGCGCATGACTGTTCGGGCCCGACGGCCGACCAGACGGTGCACCGCACCGCTCCTGGGCCGAGGTGCGAGGACCCCTCGGGCGACGCCAAAGCGGCACGGTGCACACACGTCGTCCGCCGCACGGTCGTACGGATTACGGAATTACGGGCTCGGGGATCTTGAAGGGGCCCTGGGACACACAAATAATTTGTTTTTGTTCGGCGGCCCGCAAGGAAAAGTCCAGAGGGCGTGTCAGAAGGCAATGGGGCGCAATGCCAGATAACTAATGAAGGCCAGGCCACGACTGGAGGGAGCCGCCAAGAGGGCGCACACACAAATAAAAACGCACAACGCAAAGGATTCCCCATATTTTCCTGTATTTTCTGGGTTTCTGGTTTTCCCCCCCCACTTCCTATATTTTTCCACATTTTCCGGGGAATCGACGATTAATTGTGTCTGTGTGTCTTTTCCCCTCCTGAGATCTGGCGCGTAGTCGCGAGATCCGTTCAATGGGCAAGAAGGGGCGCGAACACACACCCACGCACACACACAAACACACACACACACAAACACACACACACACACACACACACACTGGGAATCATGGGGGCATGGGAGAATGGGACGAGGAGGAGGAGGAGGAAAAGGTTGAGGAGAAGAGGAAAGGCAGGAAGAGCAGCAACTGGAGGAGGACGGCGCACGAGGAGGCGGAAGAAAAAGAGGCGGCGGCGGCGGAGAAGAGCGGAGGAGGAGGAGGCCACCAGGCCACGTAGGGGCGCCGCCAGAAGGCGAAAGAACGTCGTGGTGGGCCTGTTGGCCGTTGACACTACCGCGCGATCCCACGATCTCTCTCGCCCGAGAACGACAGTGGACGAAGCCCCTGATGGCGCTAGCTCCCCTGAACACACAGCACTGGCAGTCCACGAGCGCAGTGACAGCCATGCTGGATAGCGCATTGCTGTCCGAAGCCGCTCTTGACGGTCACGGCTGTTTGCTGTGGGCCCCTGTCAATTGGCGCCGTTCGCGTCGGCGCGCCATGGCCAATGTCGGGGGGGGGGGGGGGGGCGCTCTCCTGCAGTTCCTGCTAAGGCAACGGCCAAAATGATCCACGGCAGGATCGAAGCCCGCCCGTTCCGCGCCACGCCCCCGTCGCCCTTGCGGTCGTACCCTGGCGGGCTGGGCGCCTGTGAAGCACCTCCAGCAAACCGTTTTCGGCTGTGTTTTCCATGTAGGAGCCGCTGCCCAATGACGCTCCCCAGGGTGGGGCGCGTGGCACTGGGATGTCAATTGCCGCCCCCTCATCCAGCGGTGGACGCGGAACGGCAACGACCGGGGGCACCCCTGGTGGAGGCGGCGGTTGCAAAGCTGGGCGTGGAAGGGCGATCCCCGCAGCCGACTGCTGGCACCGCATGTTGCGGGTCCGTTGCTGGAGCTGCCGGCGGGCCCACGCCTGTTCTGCCCCGTGGAAGTGGCGGTTGTCATTGGCGAGGTCGACACCGCAGCTCGCATCAGAAAGCCTGCTGAAGGTTCTGCGTTCGCAAGCGCGGAGGGCTTGCGTGTTTTACCACACTGTGAAATACATATCGAAAGCCTCCAGTTGCACTATGTACTCCAGCGTTGCGGCGTCGACGCGCGTGGGTCGCAACAACGGCGCGAAGCTGCGGTGTTGTATTTCCTTCGCCACACGGTCGAAGCATTACACCGCCGCGACAATAGTTTGGCAAATTTATATTGCCGCGGCGAATGAAGGCGAGAGCGTCGCAAGACTCGCGATGGCCCACCTTCCCGCGTAGACTCCCACAGCAAGACAACAGAGCGCAGCGGTGGCGCAGCCACGGAGGAAGGAAAAAATCTGCCACTGAGACCAATTAGCAAAAACTGCCTATGTCAAGAGATTAATTATTCCGCTTATATTTTGACGCACGGAAAATTCTTCCGCGCAGGCGCGAGGGGAACCCCACTGGAACCGGCAAGTGGCCCCAAACTTCCGCCCCGCCGGAGTACCCCATCCAAGTTTGAAAGGCGGCCTTCCCCTCTTCCCATGGGGAAAAAACGTGTAGCCGTATGCTGGGGAAACTGAAAATGTCTTGCCGCTGACGTTTCGCCGCCGTGTCTCATGCAGTCACGGCTTATGAGCTCCCTTTACAAGGCGCATCGGATGTACCCTTCACTGTCGTCTGGGTCCTCTGGGAGATCACCAGGCGCATCGTGATCGGCGTCGGGATCTTGGGCGGGGTCGTCGCTTACCTGGCGGTGCACGACGGGGGTGCAGACTGCCCTGATGTCCATCTGCTCGGATGACGCAGCGGCGTGGGTCCGTGTGGTCTCTTTGCATCGCGGCACGTAAAGCGCCCATGATGGTCATGGTGCGTCGTTCGGAAGGGTTGCTGTGGTGTGCCTGGAGAGCGTCGCCTTGGGAAGCACTCAGATCGCCCTCAGCGGCGTTGACCCCCGTCGCTTTTGGAGCTGGTGAGCGCCCCATGCCGTAGAGCGTGCGCTGGAATGGATTACTGCGTGGTTCAACCGAGCAAGCTGCCGCGCTGGGTCGTCATGGCTGCCTGTCGTGCCACCCATCTGGTGGTGCCCCGGCGGGCTTCACTCTCCGTGTTGCTCGTCGTGTCACTGGCTTTCTTGGACGACGCAGACGGTGCAGAAAATGCAGCTTGATTCTGTCACCACCATCCATGGCGAAACAGATCACGCTGCTAGCCATGGTCATTCCGAAAGCATGCTCGGCGGGAACGGGCTCGGGCGTCGGGGATGGCGCCCCCAGCCCTGGGTCGCTTGGGAGGCTGCCGCAGAGGAGAGCCCGGGCGTGAGCCGAGGCTCTCGCGGGCCCGGGGCACAAAATGACAACCATGCCAAAAAATGCAAAAAGCGCAGCCGTTGGTGCGCGCAGAGGGCGGGGCGAGCGTCTCTGATCCAACTGCTGCGGAGCCACTCCGCGCGGCTGAATGCAAAGATACGAGCATATATGTAAGCTAGACAAGTCAGCAACCCCCTGACATCGTGGACGGTGTATCAACTAAGGCACGTGGCAACCCCATTACATGGCGAATCCCGTTCATTCTGCCCCTGCAGAAGCGCGCAAGAGGTGACAAAATTCCCTTGGTCAGAATAACCTCGATGGGATGATGGGGACCCATCGAGGCCCCTTCCATGCGGGCCTGAAGACGGCCAGGGCCGCGCGCGATATGGCTGCACTTCGATGCGCCCATAGCTCGGAACCTCTCCTCCGTCAGGCTGCACGCGCTGCCCGTGGTCACTCCCTGCGATGCTGCCTTCGATTCCTTGCCCCGAGGTATCCGGCGGGGGGGGGGGGGGGGGGGGGGGGGGGGGAGGGGGAGGAGGAGGAGGAGGAGGAGGAAAACGAGGAGGAGAACCAGGAGGAGCATTGAGCAATGAGCAATGCGCGGAGACTTCAAATGAGTTGCTCGACTCACACCATGAAACCTGGCAAAGAACTCTGCGCAGGCCGACTTAGCGGGGCGCGGGTTATAACTTGAAAGAGACGGGGCAGCCCACACTGGCTGGACCAGCACTGCCCCCGAACGGTGGCGAACCTCCGCGACGCCACGCAGGCGCGCGAGGATGGGGCCACCTAAGGGACCGACGCTTGGCTGGATCCTCGGCCTCTGCTACTGCCTTTCCCCCTGCGCGGGGCCCGCTTGAGCGCTGCCACAAGGGGGGCCATGGGAAGATTATCCTGCTGATACGTGGCGACAGCGGGGGTCCGAAAAGGATCTGAGATCACTCCCCTGGCCACTAAACTCGCCAAACGAACACTACCTGAGAAACATTTTTTTAAAGAAAAAAACACACCTCTGTTGGGCTGTGAAGATCTCCTCACATCTCACTCCACCCTTCCACGGCTCCTACTCCTACTCCTATCCTCCTCCCTCACAAGCCTCACAGGCCTCACTGGCCTCACTGGCCCACCCGAGTCATGGACCTCCTTCACTTCATCTCGATCAACTTCAGGACCCTCGCAGCCTCTCGCTCGAGAAGTCCTTTTTCGGGGCTGGGCCTATCAACTGTTCCGCCCTCCCCTGGTCCTCCTCGCAGTTGAGGAACCAGGTGATCAGCTCCCTCGCCATCATGCCAGGCTCGTCGTAGCTGGAGGCGAAGGTCAGCCGCCCTTTCTTCGTCTGCTGCTGCTGGTTCGAGGAGCCACTCGTCTCGGACTTCCGCCCCTTGTGCTGCCGATATCCAAAGTGAAGCGCATGTTTGCCCACGGTCTGTGGGGCAGCGTTCTGGATGTACTTCGCGAAGTACCCGTTGAATTTCTTGGCCTCCGTCTTGGCGTACTCCTCTTTGCCGCCCTGGATGAACGTCTCCACGTTGGTGGCGCGGTTGAGGCAGACCGCGGCCCACAGCTGTGCGCGCGGAGGTCCACGAGCGCGAAAGTCTACCTTTTCGCCTGCCCGTTGTCGTTCTTTCATATGCCTGGACATCTCGTCGTACTTGAGCCCTGAGTTGATCATGAGCTGAGTGACCCCGTCGCTGGTCTCGAGGAGCTCCCACGTCTGGTAGACCGCGCCTGCTAGGTTGGCGAGCTCTCGCGCCGAGGCGAGGCACAGCATGGTGAGGAGGAGCACGAGGACCTTGGTGAGGTCCTTCTCGTTCTTGTCGCCCTTGGCCCCGCCTTTGGCGTGCTTCGACGGTTTTTCCCCCGAGCCCGGGCCCTCGTCCGCTCCCCTCTTCGTCTCCGACATGGCCTGCATCCACGCGGGCGGCGTGAGCTCCGCCATGAGCCGCAGAGTGCCCACGAATCTGGCGGGTCCGCGGGAGCACAGGGCCAGGCAAGTGGCTGCGTAGATGTTGGCATAGTGCGTCTAAGTGTGAAGCTTCTACATCACAGTGAAGACACGACAATGACGATGGAGGCTCAAGAGGGCGAAACTCTCTGCCCCCACCGAATCGACAGTGTCCCCGTCGCACAGCAAGCACAAGATGCCGAGCAGCACATGCCCTGTCCCAGAAAAATATGCCTGCAGCAGATACATGTGTTACTGGGGGTGAGCACGTGGCACAGGGAGCGCAGCGAGTGGCGGGACCTCATATGTGCCATCAAGCCCTTACGCGTGGCGAACTCCGCCTCACATCCCTCGAACTGGCATCGATAACGTGGTTCGAGTTCGGGAAATTCTTGGGTCTCATGATCACGGCCATCCCAATTTCCACCCCAATCTTCATACCAGCGGGGGCGATAGTCACTCCAAAGAAACAACTCCGCATCACAGTGAAATCGATGTTCAAAAGCTCGTGGCGCACCTCGGGGTCCCACATGAGGCCAGGACGATCTGCAAGAGCTCCCAGTACATCCTCCGAATCTCGTATAAGCCCCTGTGCCCAGTGGAAGTCCTCAGAGACCCTGCGAGCCCAGGGGGAGGCCTTGGGGGTCAGGTATCCGTCGACGAGAGGCGCCTCCCCCGACTCGAAACACACTTCCCCGAAGAGGGCCGCGAACAGCTGGGTGTGGCTGGTGGGGTGGGCTGCCCAAGACTTATACCAGTGGAGTCGACGAATGCCCAGCTCCACCGAGGTCTCACAAATCCGCCTGTGTTTTAGCACGGCCTGATTGGACATCGTCCTGACTGCGCCAGTTGAAGTAGTCCAGCGTGCACGGCCTCGCATGCACACACGGGCAAAATGAGCAATAGTAGCATCCAGGCGGGCGCTCTGCTGCCTCGTGAGCAAGAACGCCTCCATTCCACATAAAGCCGAATTCTGCACAAGGGATAAGAAGATCGCCCGAGTAAACTTCCAGGGGAGAGCCAACGTCCAGAAACCGCCCAGGGAGTAGAAAGCCGAACGTGCTGCCTGATGTCGTCTGATCACCTCCTGACTCGAAGCCTGAAACATAGAAACGTAGGGCCCCAGGTACCGCACCTCCTCCTTCAGAGCCCCAGAGATGAGAGCACGTTCAGGCCCACGAGGCCAACGACGACAAGCCATGGCCCCCTCCCCCTCCAGCCAGACCGCCAGCTCTTCTTTCCCCCGATTATGTTGGTACCCACACTCCTGGAGGTGAGAGTATCGCAAATCGTCTGACGCGCGCAACTTGGCAAGGAAGGAGCCCATGAGGTCGCCCTGAGCGATCAGGGTGTAGCGATAAAGGTCGTCCGCATACTTAAAGAGGCTGAGATCAACTTCCTGACCTTGCCAATCAGCGCGTAAGAGGTGCAAAGATGGGTCAGAACCAGGAGGAGGACGAGAAGGAGGAGGAAGAGGAAGAGGAGGAGTGAATAGAATGAGCGCCATCACACGGTGAAATGTGGGATAGGATGAGGAAGAGAGAGGAGCAAGGAGGATAACGAGGAGCACGCGACGCCCGCGAGGGCGGCTGCAAGGGAGCTGCGGCCAGCCTCCGCCCGGGAGCGTCGGCGACCTCCGCACGCGTCGCGGGGGGCGGGAGGCGGCGCCCTGCTGCGGAGGGAATCTCCCCGCCGAGACTGGGCCTTCTCCCCACATCTCCTCGTTCTTTCTCGATTCTGGCCCTCGGGGGCCGCTGTCGAACTTCAGGACCATCAGAGATGGACCCAGGTCAAAGAGCTGGCCCCTGGGAGCCGGATTTCGTGTACAAGAAAATCGCGAGCGGAATCCCACGTTCACGCCCCGCTTGGCCGTTATAAATCCACGGTAATACAATCGAGGATGGAGGCACCAGAAACTCCAGCGTTGACATCAGACCCACCATTGTCCCAAGGCCCCGCTGCCGAATTAACGGGAATTATTCGATTTTTTTGGCGCGGTCTCCGCGGTCATCAATTTTTGATCCAGGGGGCTGCTCACCGCCAGCACACCGCGGCGTGCTTGTGAACGTCACCGCCACTACACCGCGGTGTGCATGTCTAGTTGCGGTTACAGCCAACACGCCGCGGTGCGTTTTTGTGAATGTTCATAACCAGCACGCCGCAGCATGCTTTTTGCGAACGGTTATCGCCAACGTGCCACAGCGTATTTCTGTGAACATCGCCGCCAGCGCGCCGCGGCTGCTGAACGCTCACCCCTAACACGCCGCGGCGTGGTTTTTGTGAATGACTCCCCTTGACCAAAAAGTTGTACCGACTGGAAAACCTCGATGTCCAAGAAGTCCCAAGCAAACCGCAACGTCCAAATACGCGGAGGGGTAGCAAAAGCGAAATCTCCATTTTCCAGTGGCACGGCACAGTTTCTTGTCGCCCTAGAAGGCGACCAGATCTGTTGCGAAGAAAAATAATAGGCGGCATCATACTTTCCAGTCGACCCCCCACTCGACCTCACAATACGACGCACGATGATGGACGCATCAGAAACTCCAGCATTGGCATGAAACCCGCTGTCCCAGGACTCCGCTGCCTCACTCACAAAAACTAATCCACACGCGCGGTTTCCACGATCATCACTTTTCAAGTCTTGGGGGATGGACGATTTCCCTAAGCAGGTGTCGGAAATTTCTCTGATTCGCGCGCGCGGGGCCACCACCGGGGGTTTCTGGGCAGTTCCACTGCTCGCGCAATTACTCCACCCACACACCCGCTACTTGGTCTGCAAGCCCATGCGACGGCGAGAACCAGGACTGCTTGGCGCTGGCTGGCGCGTCGCTGGAGCCGCGCAAGCGCGCGCAGGCTTGCGCGCAGAGCGGCCATGTAGTCTGGCGCGCCGGGCATTTTGTGAAAAAAATTGAATTGTCAACTCCACTGTTCGCGCAATCACCCCGCCCACCCGCCCGCGAATGAGTTTGAAAAACCACCGACTGCTTGGCGCTGATTGGCGCGTCGGCGCAGGCGCGCTAGCGCGCGCAGGCTCGCGCGCACAGCGGCCAGGCATTCTGGCGCGACCGACGCGACCGCGGTATCTCTGAACCCTCGGGATTTCCCATCGCGTCTCACAGGCCGCGCTGACGCGCGGGCACTTCAGTGCGAGTCGGTAACTCGGGCGGGCGCGGTATCATGGTGACGTCGACAAACGTGGACACGGTAATATTAAAAGCGATGATGGCAATGATGACGATGACGACGCCAAGACCAATGACAGCGCCGATGCTGGATACGCCGATTAAGATAATGATGTCCACGCGTCGGTGATGAAGGTGTTGAAGGATTTCGACATGGGCGCGAGGCCGCACGCGCGAGTGGACCGAACGGTAAAATGTGACATGGATCGTGCCAACCACAAGCAAACGCGCAAGGGCGTTCGAATGATTTCGACATGGGCGCGCAGGAGGTCCGCAGGGTCTCATTGCACGAACAGGTTGGAAGGAAACGCAAACCAAAACAAAAAACGCAATTGCCATACGAGTGCGCAAGAGCGCGTGCGCATATTGTTTTGAAACGATGCGTTGCTAAGAAGTGTACTACACACCATATAGTTCGCCTACCTTTCGATATTCACACAACTTACGGTGTTTGAGGGATTCTGGCATGCACGCCCGACGCCGCGCGCGTGGACTGCGTCACATCATTGAAAAAGGGTTCTTGCATATTGGCGAATGCGCGCGCACATTTCACTGTTTGACAACGATTAATTGGGGGGGTCAACCGCAGAATTATGTTTGACGAGTTTGCCAATGATGGTATCAAATGATTTTTAGAAACGAGCGATGGGTCAGAATCAACAGCGGATTATTCACATGTACCAGTAAAGCCAAAAGGAGGTGGAAGAGCTCCCTGAGGACAAGAGAACCGATGCGATGCAAGTATTTTCTGTTCGCAGTGAGTTGTCCACTCCACTGCTCGCGCAAACATCCCACCCAACCACCAGCAATTTGGTTTGTAAAATCCACGCGGCGGCGATCGCGATGAGTGTTTGGAAATGGTTGCTGCGTCTCTGCGGCCGCGCGAACCCACTGGCTCGCGCGCGCAGCGCCCATGAAGTTTGGCGCTACCGACGCGGCCGCGGTGGCGCTGACCGCTGGGCATTTCCCAGCGGGCAGTTCAGTGCGAGTCGGCGAATTGGGCGGGCGCGGTACCATGACGAAGTCACCAACGGTAGACGCGATGATGACGGTAGCGACGCCGGTGACGACGACGACGACGACAGCGACGACGGCAAGGTCACAGGCGGCGCCGATGTTGATCGCGCCGACGATGATAATGGCGCCCCCGCGTCGGCGATAGAAACCTTGGAGGGAAATCGACACGCGCGCGCGGCCGACGCGCGAAAACGGCCCGCATGGTATGATTCGACCCGGATCGCGCCTCCCCCCCAGCACGCGCGCAAGGGTGTTCGAATGATTCCGGCGTGCGGCGCGAGGGGCCCGCTTGGTCGAATGTCCTTGACACGTTGAAAAACCATGGTTTTCTGAAAAATTCGCAGGAGCGCCCAGCGAAGGCATTTTTGAAAATTGGCGTTACAAAACCGCGTGTTTGCTTTTACGTTGTCAAATATGTGTTCGTGCAACCTACGTAACACACTATATGTGGCGCAATGTACGTGGTGCAATCTACGGAGTGCAAGTGCCTGAGACTTCCTCACGCGTGACCACGCCCCATGCTCGCGCAATCACCCCGCCCACCCACCCGCAACTTGGCTTACAAAACCCCTGCGGCGGCGATTGCAATGGCTGCTTGGCGCTGGCTGGTGGTTCGCTGAGGCCGCGCTAGCGCGCGTTGGCTCGCGCGCAAAGCGGCCAGCTAGTCTGGCGCGACCGACGCGGCGCGGTGGCGCTGACCGCTGGAAACTTCCCAGGGCGTTTCGCAAGCCGCGCTGACGCGCGTGCACATCACGGCGTGACGGTGATTCGGGCGGGCGCGGTATCATGGCGACGTCGACGACGGCAGACACGATGATGATACTAGCGATGCTGGCGACGATGGTCACAAG